GAAATGTCAATAGAATTCATGGTGTGGTAGGGTCTACAAGGTCTGGTTGTTGTACATGCATGGGGTTTTGTCATTTGGACTTCAAGGCAACTGAGACAAACCAATGATGCACTTTTAACAGTTTTTGTTTCTGGTAACAACCCTTGAAACGAAGGTAGGAATTCGTAAAAGTTCTGAATTAATAATATATAATTTATAATGTGTTTAACATCTGCGTTGTAGAGTACCGAATAAAACATATGTAAGCCTAGTGGTCTAGAATGCTTTAACGGCAGGGCGTTTTTAGCTGGTACTCTATGTTGCCTGAAACAACTTCATGTTATAATTCAGACACATACTGAATTATGTGAATCTTTCAAGTTGACCATATTAACGTTTCTCTCATACACAATTTATTCCTAACATGTCAAATTTCTTAGGAAAAAACATTCCTTGTCTCAACATGGTTAACTTCGATGCCGGCGGCCAATTTGCAAAGGGACGTAAACATGTTTGTACGTATACGGCAAACCAAATTTGTACCTTCTTCGCCTCGTTTTGAATCTCGTTATGAATCGTCATGAGTAATGTTAATACGAAACGTTCTTTTCATATGCTGGAAGGAGTCCTGATATAAAATCACTGCATTTTGAATAATAAATAAAAGCGATAAAAACATGTCCATAATCATAAGAAATCTCTGCGAACCCGACTGTATCATGAGCATGTGATTATGAATCACTATCACATAGTGAGGATACCAGGTTTTTCCCCAAAAGGTGAGCGTTTCCTGCGCCATCGGTGGCCCCCATCACAAACACATGCAAGGGCAAGTTAATTGATCACCTGAACAAACAAAGGGACATACGATACAAGTCAAAATAGAGAACAATATGAGGTGGTGAGGTGAAATGGGGTTTAACGTCGCGTCCAAGAATATAACGACGTGCATGCACGTGTATCTATGTGTGTGGCTGCTTGTACTAGTCCGGACTGTTGCCGATTTATAGTGCTAGCTCACTGAGATACCATGCCGCAGTTTAACATGAATACACCACTCAGACACAGTATACTGACTCCGAGCCGACCAGTCCTTGTTTAATCCCCTTAATGCCGAGCGCCAGACAGGGTAACAACAAGTACCATCTTTTAACGTCTTTTGGTATGACGCGGTCGGGGATCGAACCCCGGACCTTCCCCTCTCCGGGCGGACGCTCTACCACTAGACCACGGAGGCGGTCCTGATCTTTATGAATTGATCTCGACATGAAACAGACGAGGCGGTCTCCTTATAATGCTCTTCATCATGCTGTTTTGTAACAACCAATTCTTATACCGCGTAGCAATTATTGATAGGCTTGGTACTTTATAGTCTGAGAATGATGAATACAAAGGCGTGCTTGTTCATCCTTCACTTCACCCAGACAGTGACTGGGTAGGACAAGTTGGAAATCAATCGTGTTTGAATTATCACTACTTTAATTGATATGCATGTGCGAGGGGGGGGGGGGGGGGGGGGGGGGGGGGACGAATATTATATTGTATTCTGTCTTTGTATCTCAGTATGGATTCGATCAAATTAATATTTTACATTAACAGAATCAACAACTTGCGATAAGAAAGGGAAACTGTTTTATAAGGCTTCATAACACCATAGTTCTGTCCCTAGCAATGGTGGTAGTAATGGGCATTTAAATGGATCGTGTAGTCAGGCTTAATTGACTTAATTGATTGCATTGTAACCCGTTGGTGTGGGACGTTGTTCCTTATATCAATCACTGGGTTGTCTGGTCCAGACTCGATTATTTACAGACCGCCTTCATACAGCTGGAATATTGATGGGTGTGGCATTAAACAACGAACAAACACACATCAGTCAGTGATAGGCAGACGGGTATTAATGATCAGGAAAAGGGAACGTATCCGGGTTTGAAGATCAGCAACACAGCATGCACACCTAGCACATGGGAGTCGAAACCAACTGTTCCCTATGAACCTCTCATGCATGGAGTTTTATTCTCTATTTGTACGTTTGTTGTACGCCGCGCCCAGCAATATCCCAGCTATATGACGAGGGTATTCATAACATCATGTATGGACCAGGCAAACCAGTGACTGACATCATGAGCATCGATCTAAGCAATTGGTAAACGGTGACAAGCCTCATCCAAGCCAACGAGTCTGATCACCCGATCTCGTTAATCGCCTCTTACGACAATGGATGTGCTGAATGAGTTGTAATGATTGTTGAAACTATCGATTTGTTGCAATTATCCATGGGCCGATGGCGTCACATCGATGGTGAGTTAACTTGTTAGCAGTTAATATCGATGTATAATAGATGCTATAAAAGGAAGACATAAATTATTTACCTTTTCTTAAATACATCTTTTCGGAACTGTCGCAATGGATGGGAAACGAGTGACTATGCGTAGGGTATGGATGGGAAACAAGTGGCATTGTGTAGGGTAGGGATGGGAAACAAGTGACGACGTATAGGGTATTGATAGGAAACAAGTGACGACGTGTAGGGTATGGATAGGAAACAAGTGACGGTGTGTAGGGTAGGAATGGGAAACAAGTGACGATGTTTAGTGTGGGGATGGGAAACAAGCGACGACGTGTAGGGTAGGGATGGGAAACAAGTGACGATGTGTAGGGTAGCGAAGGGAAAGTGATAGTGTGTAGGTTGGGGATAGGAAATAAGTGACGGTGTGTTGTGTGAGATGGGAAACAAGTGACAATGTGTAGGATAGGGATGGGAAACAAGTAACGATGTGTCGGGTAGGGATGGGAAACAAGTGACGATGTGAAGAGGGTAGGGATGGGAAACAAGTGACGATGTGAAGGGTAGGGATGGGAAACAAGTGACAATGTGTAGGATAGGGATGGGAAACAAGTGACGATGTGTAGTGTGGGGATGGGAGACAAGTGGCAATGTGTAGTGTGGGGATAGGAGATCAGTGACAATGTGTAGTGTTGGATGGGATGGGGGAAAAGTAACAATGTGTAGTGTGTAATGGGAAAAAAAACCAATATGGAGTTAGGGATGGTAAAAAGTATCAATGTGTATTATTGGATTGGAAAAAGTAACAATGTTTAGTGTGGGATGGGAAAAAGTAACAATGTGTAGTGTGGGATGAGAAAAGGTAACAATGTGGAGTAAGGGAAGGGAAAAAGTAGCAATGTGTAGTGATGGAAGGGAAAAGTACCAATGTGTAGTGAGTGAGTGAGAATGGATTTACGCTGCTTTTAGCAATATTCCAGGATTATCACGGCGGGGGACATCAGAAATGGGCTTCACACATTGTACCCATATCGGGAATCGAACCCGGGTCTTCGGCGTGACGAGCGAATGCTTTAACTATGAGGCTACCCGACTGCCCCACCAATGTGTAGTGAGTGATGGGAGAAAAGTAACATTGTGTAGTGTGTAATGGGAAAAAGTAACAATGTGTAGTTTTGGATTGGGACAATGTGTAATAAGGAATGGGGAAAAAGTAATAATGTGTAGTGAGGGATGAGAAAAACTAATAATGTGTAGTGAGGGATGAGAAAAAGTAACAATGTGTACTGTGGGATGAGAAAAACTAATAATGTGTAGTGAGGGATGGGAAAAAGTAACAATGTGTAGTGAGGGATGAGAAAAAGTAACAATGTGTAGTGAGGGATGAGAAAAAGGAATAATGTGTAGTGAGGGATGGGAAAAAGTAACAATGTGTAGTGAGGGATGAGAAAAAGGAATAATGTGTAGTGAGGGATGAGAAAAAGTGACAATGTGTAGTGAGGGATGAGAAAAAGTGACAATGTGTAGTGAGGGATGGGAAAAAGTAACAATGTGTAGTGAGGGATGGGAAAAAGTAACAATGTGTAGTGAGGGATGAGAAAAAGTAATAATGTGTAGTGAGGGATGGGAAAAAGTAACAATGTGTAGTGAGGGATGAGAAAAAGTAATAATGTGTAGTGAGGGATGAGAAAAAGTGACAATGTGTAGTGAGGGATGAGAAAAAGTGACAATGTGTAGTGAGGGATGGGAAAAAGTAACAATGTGTAGTGAGGGATGGGAAAAAGTAACAATGTGTAGTGAGGGATGGGAAAAAGTAACAATGTGTAGTGAGGGATGGGAAAAAGTAACAATATGTAGTGAGGGATGAGAAAAAGTGACAATTTGTAGTGAGGGGTGGGAAAAAGTAATAATGTGTAGTGAGGGATGAGAAAAGGTAATAATGTGTAGTTAGGGATGAGAAAAAGTAACAATGTGTAGTGAGGGATGAGAAAAAGTAACAATGTGTAGTGAGGGATGAGAAAAAGCGACAATGTGTAGTGAGGGATGAGAAAAAATAACAATGTGTAGTGAGGGATGGGAAAAAGTGACAATGTTTAGTGAGGGATGGGAAAAAGTAACAATGTGTAGTGAGGGATGAGAAAAAGTAACAATGTGTAGTGAGGGATGAGAAAAAATGACAATGTGTAGTGAGGGATGAGAAAAAGTAACAATGTGTAGTGAGGGATGGGAAAAAGTAACAATGTGTAGTGAGGGATGGGAAAAGTAACAATGTGTAGTGAGGGATGGGAAAAAGTAACAATGTGTAGTAAGGGATGAGAAAAAGTGACAATGTGTAGTGAGGGATGAGAAAAAGTGACAATGTGTAGTGAGGGATGGGAAAAAGTGACAATGTGTAGTGAGGGATGAGAAAAAGTGACAATGTGTAGTGAGGGATGAGAAAAAGTGACAATGTGTAGTGAGGGATGGGAAAAAGTAACAATGTGTAGTGAGGGATTTGAAAAAGTAACAATGTGTAGTGAGGGATGAGAAAAAGTAACAATGTGTAGTGAGGGATAGGAAAAAATAACAATGTGTAGTGTGGGATGGGAAACACGTGAGAATGTTTGGGGACATGGCCTGTCATGACACGTGGAGTATGCAGTTCACTTATACACGCTTGTTATTTCGTACAAACTCGAGAAGCCGAATGGCGACTACCAATATACCTATAACAAAAAGGGAGGTACTTTCTTCGTTCAGTTCAGTTCAGTTTATTGTATACGAGGCCTTTGGATCAAACACAATGCTGCATACTGAAGGTAAGGGCAATACAGACATATAAAATAAGACCATCAGACATAACGTTAACTGATTAAGTTATCGATAATAGATAATAGAGTTTTTCATCAACAGATAATGGCTTTCGCAAATTACAAGTAAATTGAAAGTACAGTAAACTACGTTTATAACGAACACGCTTATACCGAACAGACGGATATAACCAACTGTTTGGAGGTCCCGTCCATTTGCTGTATATAAGCTGAATATGTACCTGTAACGAACTGCGGTTATAACGAACTAAACAAAGTGGTCTCTTTTAGTTCGTTATAACCGTAGTTTACTGTACAACTATATATGACGCCTCACACGTATGTTACTGAAGCACAAACGTTTCTACACAGCCTTTTCATAGACATAGCCCGTCATATGTCTGTAACAGTTACTAGAATGCCAGCTGTTGGGGAGGCTCGGGTCCCAGAAGGCCAGACATTGTTGGGCTGCACTATCAACGTCCGGTTTTTCCAGAATATGGGCTCATCAAGTGAAGTTTGGGGACTTTTTCTGAACCAACCACGGGTATGATTCTGTCTCAGTAAGGATCAAAATCAGGACAATTATTGTCAGGACGAATTTGGGATTCGAACAGACGACCAGCGAATCCCAGCATCGCCGAAGGACGCAACAGCATTCCTTCAGTTTTGTTTAGCGAGACAGTTACGATTATGCCAGTTACATAGTCAGGGGTATAATACAAACATTCCACAAAAATATTAAATAGTAGATCACTTAAATGTGTGTCAGCAACTGTCTACATCGCTAGTTCACAGACGAAGGGTAGAAGGTGGCTGCATGCACCGGTGTGCCAGCTGTTGGGAAGGCTCGGGTCAAAGAAGGCCAGACATTTTTGGGCTTCAATTTGATCGGGTTCCCCGGGGCTCCAGAATGTGGGCTCAACAATTGAAGAGTTGTCTCCCCATCTCCATGATGTTTCCAGTATATTCCCGCTTGTCCAAAACCGCCCTGTGATAGAAATGAGTTTGATGAACATTTCTTAATGTTAGTTTTTGACAAAGCACTTACAACTGCCAGTTGCAGAAACTCGACAGGAATACTGCAAGGTCAGGTCTCCTGTTTTCACTTCATTTCATTGATAGGGAACTCTGTTTTATTCTATCCTAATATCAGTCAATGAAATAAATAATAATAAATAATTTTGTGAATGTTCCGTATGACCTACTTATATCTGCAGCAATGTCGTACATGAATTGGTTCCGTTCAGCGCTGTTGATGATGACGAGGTAGCTCCCCACTGCTGAGCATGCTGTCTTGGCGTCGGTCCACGGTTTAGGGTCGGTGTGCTTCTTGTAACACATGTTCAGTCTCCGGCTGTATAGATAGCCTGACTTGACTGGGCAAGGAGCTGGAATAAATGAGTGAGTGAGTATGGTTTAACGCCGCTTTTAGCAATATTCCAGCAATATCACGGCGGGGGACACCAGTAATGGGCTTGTTTCGACATATATATTGCAGTGACTAGTACCATGAACCGCCCCACATATTATTACTCTCAATACCTGCTGCAATACCATTTACAGTATATAAATAAGCAACAATAGAGGCCTCTATACTGAACCTTGTGGTTCTCCAGCCATCACTGGCTTTTCATTAGAACTCTAACTGTGATTAGTTACCTTCTGAACTCTGGTTTCTAAACAACTCTTGAACCATTTTAATGATTTCCCATTGATGCCACACGAGTTAAGTTTGTGAATGATACCCTTGTCCCAAACATTAACATTTCACACACGATGTCTATTGCATATCACAGGTCTTCATGGACTTATTTTAGCAAGAACGATCCCCATACACGAGTTTCATTTCCTTGAAAAAAAACTTTCTTGGTTTCTGAAAGATCACAAATCTTACCTTTGCTCAACACCAGGTGTTCAATAGGCTCGGAGGTGGCAACCAGCTGTGTCTGATTGAAACCTGCCATCAGATGACAAGACTTGGTTTTCTTTTTGTAGAACATTGTGGTACAGTATGCACTGAAGAAGCACATAGTGACACAGTCTGCCCTGGACAAGGCAGGGGTCGCTGGGGGTAGGGGCGGGGGCATCTGACCAGTAGATAACGAGGACACGGTCATTTCAGAACATCCCATGTTGTTTACTGATATGATGATCAGGGGTTGTCACAGATAGGGTCCTTTAATCTCGTTCTCACCGTGGAGAGGTAATCCTGAAACAAATACAGGCATGAATTCAGTAACACCAATGAGGATCCTGACAGAACTTGGACACAAGTAATTACATTTAGTACTAACTACTAAATGACTTTATCGCGCGTATTGGCTAATTACGCCCGTAACCTAATCACCCCTTGTAACTGAATCACCCCCGGGTCAGCACCCTGCACCGTGACCAGGGCAATAATCCCACACAAGCATCATCCCTACTTTGTTACATATAGTCCACCGTTCACGCACCGTCTCTCTTCAAGTACACACGTGTTTCGCTGTATCTAATCGCTTTCCCACCCACCCGCCCAGCTCGCCACTCCTTTTCTTTCCTTTTCATCCGGTATGTGTCCTCCTCACCTGGAATTCTAATCACTTCTTTTCTTCCGCGTTCTTCTATTACAGGTACCAGCAGAGCAGATTTTATGAATGTAAATAAACCTGTACATATGTAAAATAGGTTTTCAGGGCGCTTGTTTATATGTAAATGGCTACCTATTAAATGATTCTGATATATGTAAAGAAACATGACTTCTAAATAGCTGTATATATGTATATATGTGAATAACTGTCTCAACAATAAACTATGTCGAGGTGTGCGGGGTTCTTGTGGGCTACACTGCTGGTAACAAATTAACTTGCTTCCAAATTAATACTCGTGCTTAAGGCTACCTGCTTTTCAGTGGGAATCTTTCCGGGGTTACCTGCTTCTCAGGGGGAACCTTGTCTTTCCCGACTTTTCAGCCGGGGAATCGTAAAATAACTTATGTTGGGCAACCAATTGCCACGATGGAAGTCGTCTTGTCAAGCGGTAGCTGACAGTTGGGTCCGCGGCGGTAGTCGCGACAATGGTTTTACTAATGGGGCCAGGCAGTTGGATCTGCTTTGGCCGGCTACCTGGAGCCGGGCAGCGGTAGTCTGACTTAGGCCAGCAGCGGTAGCTGCTTTCGGCAGCAAGGCAGTTGCCAAGCAATGGTAGCGTTTAAATATGCTACCGTGGAGGCCAGACAGCAGTAGCGGTGGCCATGGCAACGGTAGCATTTTGGTATACACAATTAGCAGCTTAGTAGCCCACTAGTACCCGCACACCCTCGGCCATTTAATCAATCTCATCTTGTGTTTTATTACAGGCACGGGCATCCACAGTTTGGTGGCCCGTGACTCTCCGTGGCATATCGCGTGATAATATATGTCTATCGTTGGTTCAATGTCGGATTTCACTGGACCCTAAATCCTTTATACGGAAAAGCACTACTGCTTCATATACGAGTAGGCATATGGCATATTAAATAATTACTACTCTATAAAATGAAGATATTAAACTGAAATAATGTACAGAGCAGTCGGTTTAATGTGAAACTGCAGTTGCAACCTGACAGCAGGGGTGAAACTAATGATCATGCATTATAACTGCCCATAACTGCCCAATCTGCTCGGAATAGTCTAAACGATATGTTGCCATTTCACACAGCCCCATTTACATTCTTGCAGTATATACAACGGGAAATTGTCGGATCCGTTGAGATGGAACCAATGATGTTAAAAAATATAATCTTCAACAATTCAACATAAATGCAAAGTATCCCACTGCAGTATTAAAATATCACTGCGACCATTGTAAAATTCAGCGAAAACATAACATCTAATTATGTTAACTCGTCAGCACATAACCAAGATATTCATGAATGGTTGTTCTCAAAATGATAAAAAGACTGGAGATTGGTTCAAATTCCAAATGCATCCTCCTCTCAATACCTTAACGTCATCGATGTAGGACTCACACAGTAATACACTTATATTTTTTCACTGAATTTTTTCTTCCTACCAAACTGGGTTAAAGTTTCTGAATAGGTAGCCAGTGTATATTCAAATATGATAATATATAGCAATAACACAACATATTATAACACATTGAGGAAACGTCATACATACGTTAATCTGTACCAATGTCTTGTCTGGTTGGGTCCGCCTGAGTGAAGTGAGCTGATTTCGGTGTGAGCATTGATTATAATCCTCTTGTAAACTGTCTGAATAACACACCGTGGAAATCAATAACTCCTTTTAAATATAAAACGTCAACGCTAGAGAATAATCAGTCCATTAGACGTAAAGGCAAAATAGTGGTGAAGTGTATATGAATATATCACATACGACCAATGATAACACCAGGTGTTCGTAAGGTTTAGCACCCGCCGCTCACACCATTTCCAAAAGAAACTAAGTGTTTGTTTGTTTGTTTGTTTTCTATCGCCGCACAGCAATTCTCCTGTCACTCTGGCACTCTGTCAGTGTGGGTTCGAATCCCAGACGGGACAGTACGAGAATCTGTGTTTTACTCAGAAAGTGTTATCCCAAATATAACATTTCTTATATTTGACCACTTTCTAAATGGCATTGTGTGTTCATAATTTGGGCCATGGGAGCCGTGCCAATTTACACACGTCAGAGGGCTACACAAAGTACATGATCTGGACTACCAGTTGTCGGACTTTTATCTTTGTGAAAGCACTTTTATTTTTCAATATAATCTCCATTCACCTCAATACACATTTTATAGAAATCCGCAGATTGGCCCTCTAACCACGCCTCTGTGGCAGCCGTTATGTCCTTGTCATCCTGGAAGCGTCTTCCACGTAGGGCAGATTTCATTTACCGGAACAGGAAATAGTCACTGGGGGCTGAGTCTGGGCTGTAGGGTGGGTGATTTAACTGTTCGAATCCACATTCACATATGGCGGCCTGTGTAATTCTCGACTTGTGAACCGAAGCGTTGTCATGCAAAAGTAGAATACCACGTGTTAACATCCCACGGCGTTTCTGGCGAATAGATTTTCGCAATTCATTCATTACATTAGCATAATACTGCCCATTGATTGTAGTTTTTGGTGGCATGTAATCAATCAGTAATATGCCTCTTGCATCCCAAAATATGGTGGCGATTTCCTTGCCAGCCGATGGTTGAGTGCGAAACTTCCTCGGAGGCGGAGAATTTGGGGTGCTTCCATTGCATGGATTTCAATTTAATTTTTGGGTCCCAGTGGTGCATCCATGTTTCATCACTCGTCACTAGACGAGAAAGAAATCCGGCTTCGTCAGCAGTATAAAGATCCAGGAGGTCTCAGATACCTTGGACATACCAAGATGCTCATGAATAATGGTTACAACAGTTCCAACTGATATTTGGAATTCCCTAGAAAGTTCAGATACTTTCACTCGTCGGTCAAACAAATTCTTCTTTCTATAGCAGCAATGGTTTCCGGTTGGGTGGCATCTGAAGGCCTGCCTGACCTTGGATCATCGTCTATGGACTCCCTACCCCTTTTAAACTGTAGAGACCAACGGTAAACTGTTGGATAGTCAGGAGCATCCTTACCCATCACTTTACACATGCGATCATGGATTTCTTTTGCTTTGCATCCCTCCTTGGTAAGGAACTTTATTACAGTGCATTGTTCATGTTTGAGAGAATCCACGATTGTGACCACCCTTAGGTGAATGAAGCCATCACATCTAACTTATTGTTGTGTCTGGAACTTGTTATGACACGTGTCAACCTGATGTTATGACTAGTGTCACACCTGCCACAAGCTGACATGGTTTGTGTTAACACAAATGCCCAAGTTGCAAAACTTATCGAACGCCCCTCGTACATGTAGGTAAATGGTATCCTGAAACTTAAAGACCGCCTCCGTGGTCTAGTGGTAGAGCGTCTGCCCGGAGAGCGGAAGGTCCAGGGTTCGATCCCCGGCCGCGTCATACTAAAAGACGTTAAAAGATGGCACTTGATGTTACCTTGTCTGGCGCTTGGCATTAAGGGGCTGGTCTGGTCGGCTCGGAGTCAGTATACTGTGTCTGAGTGGGGTATTCATGTTAAACTGCGGCATGGTATCTCAGTGAGCTCGCACTATAAATCGGCATCAGTCCGGACTAGTACAAGCAACGCACACACACACAGACACACACACACACACACACACACACACACACACACACACACACACACACACACACACACACACACACACACACACACACACGTGCATGCACGTCGCTATATAAGAGCAATAATCTTAGACGCGACGTGAAACCCCATTTCACCTCATCACCTCACCTGAAACTTAAACGTGATGGCGGGTGGTAGGTCGGACGACGCGACACTGTTGAAGGACTGTC